TTCAAGCCAGCCCAGGTAAGAGAGACCCTGAGTCTCCTATCTACAGTTAACCATCAAAAAGCTAGAAATGGAGCTGTGGCTCAAATGATAGAGTGCCAGCCTTGAGCTAAAAAGCTAAGCAAGAATTCAGGGCCCTGAGTTCAAGCCCTAGTACCAGCACAAAAAAATTTAAGGGGCAGGCGGGGATTTAGCTCAGTGTAAGAGCACTTGCCTGGCAAGTGCAAGGCTCTGAGTTCTGTCCTCAGCTCTGCAAATAATAATAATAATTGTTTTTTTAACCTGAAATCATAGTCCTAAGAGAAATTAGCCAGACTCAGACAAGTACCACGTTTTCTCTCATGTGTAGAAGCTAGAAGGGAAAAAAAAAAGAAGCCAGGTGCCAGTAGCTCACACCTGTAATTCTAGCCATTCAGGAGTCTGAGATCTGAGGATCGTAGTTCAAAGCCAGTCCAGGGGGAAAGCCCATGAGACCATCTCCAATTAACTACCTCCGAAATCACAAGAGGAGCCATGGCTCAAGTGGTAGAGCACTAGCCTTGAGAAAGACATCTGGGATAGTGCCCAAGCCCTGAGTTCAAGCCCTAGGACCAGCATGCGGGAGCACACACACACACACACACACACACACACACACACACACAAAGACAGTTGAAGGGAGACAATTAGAAACTGAGCTGAGCTGAGCTGAAGGGGTGAGAGGAGGAGGGGACAATGGCCATGACTTCAATACATGCTCAAAAGTAAACATTTCATTAGATTTTCAAAAGCTAAAAATGGACACATAAATAGGTAGGTAGAGAGATGGATGGATGGATGGCTAGATAGATAGATAGATAGATAGATAGATAGATAGATAGATAGATAGATAGATAGATAGATAAAGCTGAAGTTCTGGAACCATGCTTCAGACCTGGATGTGACTCCGCCTCCTACCCCAATATGTGATTGCTTTGGCAGTTTCCATGGTAACTCAGTCCTTTCCTCATGCTGATCCTCCTGGAGCCGCACCTGCTCTGTGCCAGGTGTAGGGGTGTAGAGCCCCTGTCCCCGGAGCCCTCAGACCAGCAGCAAGCCAGAGCTACCCAGAGGGGTGGTGTGAGATCCCTCTCTGCCCTTCCACCTGGTGTGGGGCTGCTCCTTCAGAGTCTAGGGCAGGAGGGAGCGGCAGGAAACCCTCATACCCAGGAGTATTTGCACACATGCCTGGGGAGGGGGCTATGTCCCAGCCTGTAATCCTAGCCACTCGGGAGGCTGAGATCTAGAGGACTGAAGTTCAAAGCCAGCCTGGGAAGAAAAAAAAACCCACAAGCCTCCATCTCTAAATTAACCAGCAAAAATCTGGACCTGGAGGTGTGGTTCAAGTAGTAGGATGCCAGCCCAGGGAGCAAGGGAAAGGACCTGAGTTTGCACCTCAGAAACAATTTTAAAAACATCAGTTCCACATGTTGGTACACATCTGCACTCATATCTCCTTAGAGGACACGGTATGAAGACTGTGCTGGGCCAGCCCAGGCAAATAGTATGAACCGTATCTGAGAAACAGACTAAAAGCAAAAGGAGCACTGGGGCTGGTTCAAGGGGTGGAACCTTACACACTCAAAGCCCTGACTTCAAACCCTAGTACTGGTCTGAGTGGTTAGGGAGTTAGTCCTCTTTGTGCTTTTACACTTCCTGGGTGCTGGTGAGACGTGGCTCTGAGCCGGGGGCCAGGCTTCCAAGGTGAGACGCTCCGTCTGTCTTCGTGATCACCACGGTTTATGAACCCTTCGGCAATGCCAGATCAGGCCTGCAGAAGGACAGCTGCGGGACGTGGCGGGCGGAGGGCCCGGGCTGGGCAGCCCGGTGAGTGATGTGTGGCCCATCCCCACGTGAGGCTGAGGCCTGGGCGGCCTGAGCAGGCCCGCCCAGCAAGACTTGCACTCAACACGGAGGCAGGGAGCGGGAGTGGTGCAGAAGGCTCTGTCCAGAGCCTCCCCAGACCTGCCTGTCCCTCCTGGGCCTCAGGGCAGGAGTAAGCAGGACTGGGGGCCTTGGGGCACCCACCACCTCCCACCCTCGAAATTCCTGGAGCGTCTGGGATTGCTTTCCACTGAGGAGAGAGCTGAGCTGGAACAAAGGCCCCAGCACAGGGCCAGCTCAGGAGGACACAGGCCCTCACGCAGGCCAGTGGCACCAGGGCCCCGGAAGGGGTAGGGTTAGCAGGGCAGGAGGGGGACTGGCACTGCAAACCAGCTCAGGCCCAGCCCCGCCCCATCCCGCACTGGCTGCCCAGGCTCCCCACCATGGAGCCCTCAGCAAACCCGCTGCCTACCCTGCTTCGCTCCTGCTTCCCTCCTCCTCAACCCCAGGGCCACAGGCCTTCCCACTCGCACCCCGCCCTGCAGAGCTGAGACACAGAGAGGCTCAGCTGCTGTCCCTGCACTGCCCAGCAGAGCCGGGAGGGAAGGAGGGAGGGAGAATGGCAGGCCCTCCCAGACAATGCCCCAGGAGCTGTAGCCAAGACCTCTCCTGCCCGTCCTGCCAGCCCCCGCCGAGAGCCACGTGTGGAGGGGCACCTTGACCCTGCCCTGGGTCAGCAAGGCTGGCCCAGCCCCCGCAGCGCAGCGAGAGCACAGCGCCAAGCCTGGGCCCGCCCGCCTCTCTGCTTCACCCACCCCCGGCAGATGCTGACACCCACACACACTCTGTTCCTCCAAGGCCCCAGGCGGGCAGAAGAGATGTCACAGAGAAAGAAATGAGACAGAACAAACAAGAAAACGAGAGAAAGAACCAGCCTCTGGTCCCCATTGAAAACGGCCCTGCTCCACAACCACTGCTTCCTCCGTGACGGCCGGGGAGTCTGGAGGCTGCCTAACCCTCCCAGAAGAGGATACCACATCCAAGAGAGAAGCAGATGGCCCCTGGGCACTGTGCCTCATGCTTGTCCCAGCCCTGCTCCAAGTACCTCGCAGACTGGGGAGCAACGTGGGCCCAGGACCCTGGAAGGCACCCACCAGGACTTCGTTCACACAGCGAAGGCCTCCCATCCCAGGAGATTTGCTAGAGGTGACCCGAGTGACCAGAGGAGAGGGAGAGAACCCAGGTGGACAATGGGGGTCATTCTCCCGCCACCCAGCCTTCTGACGACAAAGACGTCCTCAGGGTTAGGATAGAACCAGACCAGTGGCTCGGGCCTGTAATCCTAGCTACTCAGGAGACTGAAACTGAGAATTACAGCCCAGCAGGAACATCCATAAGACTCCTATCTCTAACCACCAAAAAATCCGAAGTGGAGCTGTGGATCAAGTGGTAGAGCATTAGCCTTGAGTACTAAAGCTAAGGGACAGCACCCAGGCCCTCAGTCCAAGTCCCAAGACTGGCACCAAAAACAAAAAAGAGGGAGAAGGGTGGAGTGGAGCTGTTCCAGGGGCAGTCCCCAGTGCCAGGCTGCCAAGGGGCTGGGCAGGTTCATACAAACCTCCGTTGGCCCTGGGCTCTGCCTGGCATCCATGGATCTGTTTGATAGATGGAGTCTGGCATCATCCAAGTCGGGGAGTCACTGTCTCTCCCCTCCCCGCTCACCATCAGGCCCCCCAGCCCAGAGTTCCACGGCGAGACTGCTCCACTGGTCTCCAGAAACAGCCACGGTGCTGGCGCCATCGTGGGGACCAGGCAGGACCTCTCCTGTGCTGTCCTTAACCACCAGGACGTGAAGCCAACTCCTGCCGGTTTCCAGCGCCAGGAGGCCTTTCTTCTGGTCTCATTAGAGACTTGTGCTGGCTTCTGTGTCTGCAGCCCTGAGGGCCAGCCCGGTCACCGTTCAGGGCCCAGCGGCGTGGGGACACTGGCCCTCGGTGGGGCAGGTGTCCTGCCTTTCTCTGTATCCACTGGCTAACGTCTGCAGGGGCCAGAGGCTGCTCTTGGAGAGGACTCAGGAGCCCCCTCATCCTGCTTTTGACATCCTTGTCCTAGAGCCCCTGTCACCCTGGGGTCACCTGCATCTCCTCCACAACCATCCTCGAGTTCAGCCTCAGCTTTCCAGACCTTCATCTAGCCTGCTCTGGACCTGCTGTCCAAGACATACAGGGCTCCCCAGGCTGGAGGAGGGTCCCCAGGGCTTACAGGTGTCTCTGGAATCGCGTGGCCACCCAGTAGCGGTGGGCGTACCCACTGAGAAACTTCATGACACTTTGTCATGTTGAGCACCCAGGACTCGTCCTGGAAGACACTTGTCACTCTTTTGGTTCCAGGTTTTGCTTGCTTCTTTTTCCTGCCTTCCTGGAACTCCTCTGCTCATTGGGCTTTGACCTTTGGGAATAGCTTTCTAATTTTGAAGACCCATCACTGGACCCCGTCTGGATTGGCTGCTGCTCTGGGGACCTTGCAACGTGGCATCCCTAGACAGCCGCCAGCTTAGAGGGCCTGGGTCCGGGACTGGGCCTGGTGGAGGAGAGGTGAGCCCACTGCCCACAGAGCACCAGCACCCAGCTCTGCAGCTCGTGGGGGTCTGCACACCCTGGCTGGCCCAGAGTGGCTGGAGTGAGAGAATGGGAGGGGTGGGGAGCGCAGGCCGGCCCTGGCACTGCCCAGCTGCCCCGAACAGTCCGACCGGAGCCCATGTCTGCCTGCTGCATAGCAGATGAGGCCTGTGCCAACTCAGAGGGCAGTTGGGGGCCACTTGATACGGACCCTGGCCTCACATCAAGTAGTTTCTCTTCCCCTGGAGGAGTTGGGGTAAGCTAGTCTTCTCTGGCATGATTCCAGAATGTTCAGGGTCTAGACAGGGCCTGGCCACTTAGCTGTGTCGGTCCTCTCCAGCCTTAGTCCGCTTCTCTCTAAAGTGGAGGTGTTCAGCTGGGGGCCCCAGGCTCCTTCCTGCCTGCCACTGGGCCGGGGTGCTGGGAGGTGGCCAGCGGGCAGTGCCAGAGAGGCTGCAGCAGCCAGTTCAGCCACGCTGGCCACCTGAGTGTCATGGAGAAGGTGACCTGTAGTGATCTGTTTTTAGGGTCCTGCCCGGGAAGATGGGATACTATGGAAAGTGCATCAAGGTTGTGATCGAGCAACTGGACAAGTTCAAGCCGGAGAAGGACAGACCTGAGCAGTTCCTGGAGATGGCATCCAGCACCCTGCAGGTAGGGCCAGGGAGGCTGCCTGGCCTCCTGACTGGCCTCAGGGGGCGCGTATTCCCTGTTCCTTCTTCCTGCGGAGAAGGCCTAAGACCCACGGTGCCGCCCAGAGCCCCTTGGAGCTTCTGCACACCTCTCCATACAGGAGCTGCCCTTGGTCCCCATGCTGGGCAGGCCTTGAGGGGATGCTGCAGGGCCTCCCACATACCCCCCACAGTCCTGTCCTAGAGCAGAGGCAGCCCTGAGCCCCTCAGCCCCTCGCCCCCACTTTGGGGGAGCTGCGCTGTGCCCAGGTGGCAGTGAAGGCAGCTGTGGTGTATTTGTGCTTCCAGCAGAGGTGGGGGCCGGCAGGGCCACCAAAACCCTGGCGGGGGCGGGGAGGTGAAGCCCTGGGTTCAGGTCCTCAGTGCCACATCAACAGAAAAAGCTGGAAGTGGTTCTGTGGCTCAAGTGGTAGAGTGCTAACTGTGAGCAAAATGAAGCTCAGGGACAGCGCCCAGGCCCTAGTCAAGCTCCAGGACTGGCCAAAACATCAAACAAACTCCAGCGCCCTCTTCCTGCCCACACCTGGAAGAAACAACTGGCTCCCGCACTTGCACATCCCCCTCCTGAGCAGCACCCCAGCTGGGTGTCACACAGGCTCCACCCATGTGACCTGGCAGAGGTGCTTGAGTTCCTCAGAGCTCACAGCTGCTCCTCATTCACGGAGACTCCTCCCGAGACCCCGCTCAGCCAGCAGAGTGCTGTCTGCCTCCATTGCTCAGGTAGGGCCTACACCTGCCTGTAACCACGCCACCTGCTGCTCCCCCACCACTGAGGCCTAGGCCACACAAGCTGGGTTCACTGCCCCTCAGTCTGTCTTCTCTCCAGGACCAGAAAGAATGTACTAGAATGAGCCAAAAAGGCTCTTCCTGTACCCAGAGTGGGAACTCCACATCCCTCCCTCACCCCACCATCCCCTCTGCTCAGGCCACATGGTGTCCAGGTACTTCTAGAGTGTTCCATGTTCAAATCTCTTGCACTTGACCCCTACTTGAGACACTGACCCTGGATGCTGCCTGGATTCCATGGCCAACACTGCACCCACCCTGTGCCCCACTGCACCCACCTTGTGCATATACTACGCCCAACCACACCCCACTGTACCCACACTGCACCCACACGGCACCCACACGGCACCCACAAAGCACCCACTGCACCCACACAGCACCCACTGCACCCACACAGCACCCACACAGCACCCACACAGCACCCACACAGCACCCACACAGCACCCACTGCACCCACACAGCACCCACTGCACCCACACAGCACCCACTGCACCCATACAGCACCCACTGCACCCACACGGCACCCACTGCACCCATACAGCACCCACACTGCACCCACTGCACCCACACAGCACCCACACAGCACCCACACAGCACCCACTGCACCCACACAGCACCCACACAGCACCC